AATATCACGCAGCTCCCAATTAACATTTGAGATGAAATGTATTTTTAGGCTTTCGAAACAAATCTTTGTATTGGTTTGTATAGATTTGAGCAATTAAGTGAGTTCACACTCCATAGTTGCTTTTCTGAAGCTAACAGGCTCCCTTAAAAAGCTTTTGTTAACTGAACTATCTAAGAATCCCATCCCATAAGAATATCCAATACAGTAAATTTCCCAGATTAACAGCAGCTTGGAGGAAACTACTGTAAACAAAAAGTTTTCATAAATGTAAAAATCTAGATATTGTTTCTCTTCAATCCTTCTGGAATACCTTTTTTATTCTTTGAGGTGGAATAAAAAAAAGCATAACGGGCGTGCAGGTGGCGCAGTGGTTAGTGCGCACGACCCATGTATGGAGGACTTAGTCCTCAACACAGCCGACCCGGGTTCAAACCCTTTGCGTCATGTCTCTCCCCCTCTCTCATACCCTCTTTCCTCTCAGCCTACTGTTGAAAAAAAGAGCCACTAGTGCCACAAAAACAAAAAGAAAATAAAGCATAACTGGGGGTCTTATCCTTATCCTGAAAGCAGAACACGCACGTAGTTAATCATATGGTTTCCGATAATTCATAGTAACAAAGGGTCAGTGAAAGCAGATCAGGTCAAGCTCTGCAGAAACATCTGCAGCGAGAAAGCACACACTGTATATAATTGTACACTTATGTTCTTCCATCAACATGAATATTTTGTTAGCTGCTCGGTGATGCAATCCAAAACATTTACGTACCAGTGCCATGCCACAGGGTTTAGATTGTGGGGAAATAAGAGGAGTAGGAAAACATTTTACATAGGAGATACCTGCTGGGATTCTGGTATGAGGATACACATTTCCATAGATATTATTTTCTTAATACAGCTTTGACCTTCAAAAGTGTTTATCTTCACGTGCTTTCTTGCTCTTGAGCTAGGATCTAAATGTGTGTGTGTGTGTGTTGTATGTGTGTGATGCACAGGTCTTGTGACACATGGCTTCAGACAGAGAGTGTCTGGAGGGAGGGGGAGTCTCCTTTTGGTGGGACTCAAAACAAGTGACGCATGACTAAAGAGGCCCAGGAAGTTCCAGCAGACTGCTGTTTTTGCTGAGATCGTGTGTGTTTGTGGGTGGGTGCGTTTGTGTAAGTGTAAGCAGGGCCCCACCGGGGACAGCATGGGGCAACACAGGCTGGAGTGTCTGGAAAAACTCTGCAGAGTGACAAAAGGAGCAGTGTCCATTGCAGCATTTCTGTCTGCAACACTTTACTCCCCTTGGAGTGTAATAGAATGAAAGCAGCGACAACCGGGTTGCAAAAGCTGGATATATTACACTATCTAAAGGAGCTTGTCGACTTACATAAACAATATGAGCAGCTCACTCTGCTTAAACACCTTTTGGTTTCTTACGTATAGCAGTGGATTAAACTACATAATGCCGAAAGCTTTACAAAATGCTTTGCTGTTTCTCATTTATACGATTCCATTCCTAAAATCAGCATTTGGGAGCTGTTGTTATGCACCGGGCACAGAGAAAAACTTTAGACACAGCAGACTTCAGTGCTATCAGCCCTGTTCTAATCTCAGCCCCATGGGACAGACACAGCCTTGTTGCTCCCACATGGTCAGAGCAGACACAACACCAGGAGGGAGCATGTGAAGGTTCTAATTAGCTTACACTGTAAGCTCTGTTGGACAGACATGGCCAGACATGATTGTATTTCATCAGAATTCTGTCATGGTTTCCTCGATATATTCTAGATATTATGTTTCTCCAGACCAACATGTGCAAATTTCTTTCAGACCCACTTTCTCAATAGTTGACTCTCAGGAGATTCGCTTTATTTCATTGCAGTGCCGAAATGAGAAAAAAATCCTTGCAAAAAAAAAAAATGGCTATCAACCTTCATCAGACCATTTCTCAATGGGAATCAAGATATGGCAATTCATTATTTCATGACTTTTTAAAATCTATAAGATGTTTATTGATAAATGTACGGACAGTTAGCCTGCATGCATTTGACTAAATATATACAATAAACATGGTATAATAACAAATAAAACATCCTTTTTTGCAGTCCTGCACATTTCATTTATTTTCATATATGCAAAACCTTAATATAGAGGCTCTAAAATCCTGTGACTGATTTTATTACACATTCCTTATAAGCACTTTTTTCTGTTATGTTCATTATGAGCGATAAAAGGTGAAAGACTGATTACCATCCTCTGATGCCCTTCGCTCCTGTTGTCCTGTCCTTGTTTCACTGCAGCTTCTCGCTGCTCCTCTAGAAGGAAGTTAGAGTTCAGGTTTTGGCTTTTAACTAACATCGAAGGACAGGACAGGAAAGAGAGGATACCAGGAGCTGCAGGATAAGAAGAGAAAGCAGCTGGCATGCTAATCCCTATATGCTGCAAGCCCAGTGCAAAACAATCAAGTGGTTGAAGATATTAGTTCTTCAAAGCTGCGCATTAAAATGTTATCTGTATTGGAAACAAATTTAAAACAAATAATCTCCTGTCACACCTTCAAGTGGATCACGTCAAGAAGGCCAGAGATGAACATTTCCAAGTGAAATAGGTGAGTTCCTATTTTTAGCTAATGACCAGATCACTTAGCACCTAGTTTGCATGAATCACACCAACTGTGGTCTAATTCTGCCTTTCCATATTTGATTATCCCCATTTGCTTTAAGTTGATAACAACTAATAACTTAAAGCCAATATATAAAAATCTCTGGGAGTGTTTTTAATATTAACATTAAAATTATATATCTTTGTTGCTCAGGCTTACTCAAGCCATCTGTCCCAAATTTAGCTACATTCAACTATTGATTTTAAAAATCTCTGTTGCTTTAAAATGTCAACCGCTCTTGTTTCACACATATAAAAAGGACCAACACTTTAACAAACAAATACAACAAAAAAGTATCAATCATGCATAGATAGATCATGTCTTTTAAATCATTCTTTTAATTTTTTTTTTTAACAGTTGCATCCTCCTCCCATCAACAGCGATTTGTTTCGGGAGACATCTGATCTTATCTAGCCACCTGGAAACGCGAAAAGTATAAAACCATTGGTCAAAGGCAGTCTTGAGAGGATCAATTTGCAGTTCGCCTCATGACATGTAAATATCTGAAGTCCTAATCCAAAATTGAGATTCATTTTTGACAGAACAACAACCCTAAACATTAAAAAAAAATAAAAAATAAAATGGGATTTCCTTCATTTCTTTTTATTTAGTCTCTAATAGTTAAAGTGCAAGCTCTCCCACTTTTCTAAGTGGGAGAACTTGCACAACCTGTTACTGACTAAAAACGTATTTTCCCCACTATATGTATTAAGTCGAATACAGTTCATCAATGTTCTCATGTTTTTATGTGATTAAAGATACTTAATTCTGGGTTATAAGGCTTTATAACAATCTCAAATGGTCAGGTACATGATGTGGGCTGAAAATAAGTAAGACATGTAAAGGCAAATATGTGCCGAAATGAAAAGCAGTGTTAATCAAGGATACTGATTAAAAAATACAATCTGCATCAAGGATAAAAGAAGTGTGGCTATCAGATTAAGGCCCAGAAGGTAAAGAGAGGCTATAAAATGGCCAAATGACAACTCCAAGGTTCTGTCATACTGTTTTGCCAATAACACACAAGATTTGTGAGAAATGTTTCTGGCTGTCAGCCTACAGTTACGGTAATTTCATTATGGATACGTATTCTTAAGATATATTGGAGACAGATTTCTTTTACAAAGTTAAAAATAATTTCTAACTATAACCTGAAATCAACCTGAATCACATTATGCTTCATGCCATCTTGTGTAACCACGTGATCTCTCACACCTTCAGTGCTGTTTCAGAGCCTCAAGGCAGACGCCTACAAGAATCTGTCCTCCTTCACAAAAAAAGGGGGGAAAGGATTTCCCATGTGAAAAGCTTGTTGTTTGGTGTTGGCTCAGGTTTGAATCTTGATAAAATAGATTCCAGTAACTCCTATGAAATACTCAAAGACAACATACAAATCCATCTCTGACAAGATGTATTGTTACTAAACAGATGCTGCACAACTTTTAGAAGATTGATTGATGTTTGTCGGGCTCAGGCAGAGGTTGACAAGAATCCAATGGAAAACTGACTTGTCAAAATAAATCTTATGTGGTGCCAAATTGCATAAACACACCTCTGGGTTTCAAGCAAGGCAGAGCAGCACAGTAAACCTGTAGGAAGAAATGCTGAGGACACAGATAACACTCAGCAGTTCAGGTCCAGTATATTAACCTCTCCACTGGTAATACTTTTGTATTTATCATCATTATTTTTTTGATAATTACACGGTTTTCGCATATTATTACTCGAATGTGACTTTATATCTTTGTTTTGCCACATTACAAGCAAAGAGAAAACACTGGTTATCAAAACAACTTGCAACTGCACATTTAAAACACAACAGCACCCCCATGTGGGCGAACTTAACATTTCACCCTATGATTGAAAAAGGAAATCTGAAATAAAACAATCAAGCAGATTGTGTTGCGTTTAAATAACTTGCTTAAACTTTTTTTTTTTTTTTATCTAGAATTATTTATCTTTTATATCTGAAAAAAGTGAATGTACACTTGGGTTGAGCTGCAATTGAATAGTTGAGATCAATAATTTCTCAAAACCCAGGCCCAGATTTCTGTCAAAAACTGTAAATACATTTGCATTTTTTATCATTTTATAATCTTGATTCATTCTTTTTGTGTTTGAATTTGCAAATGTTGAAATCATTTGTTTCCCTGACGTGAGAAAACTGTTTGAGGGCAGCTCATTTTTTAAACTTTTTTTTAAATATGTATTTTACATAAAAATAGAATTTATCATACCTTTCCTTCTAAGTAACACTAGAAATAGAAACCACCATCTCTAAACAAGTTTAAAAGGGTCATATGCGGTTACATACAGACATTTCTACAAGGTCCTCTTTTGCAAAAGGGTTAATTTTGTCCTTCATGACGCTCCGTAGTCCGTTTTTTTCACCTGTCTGAAAGCTAAAGATGGCTGAAGCTCCTCCATGCCCCAGTCGATTCTTCTGTCACAGATGCTCACAAGAGATCAGTCCTCGGCTTCCCGTGAGTATTAAACTAGGGATAAACTAGTGAAGACGAAAGCTACATGAAGGAAACCCTAGCGGGGCTGTTTTCGCCTTCATATACTCCGGTTCTGCTGTTAGCATAGCAGCAGTGCTAGCAGCCTCCTGGGAGGCTCCGCTTATCATTTCACGCCACCTGGAATTTATGTCAGGGTCTGCTTACATCAAAACAGTACAATCGTAATTACTAAACTTATTTAAATACCGCTTGTGTAACATAACTTAGAATAATATTAATTTTGTCTGTCTTTGTCAGGCTAATTGTTTGGATTAATGGTGTTGCATTTACTAACTGAAATCCTGGAATTTCTCTCTGTTTGATAAGAATAATAGAATAATCTGTCACTGCTTTTCAAAACATCACTTATCTAGTTCCTGGTTATTTCCTGTAGCTAAATGTCCGCCTCTTATTTTAAGAGGACCAATAAAGCGATCACATAAATAACACTAGTGTTTGGCATGAAATAAAGTCGATGGATCTGAATTAATACAGCTAACAACCACCTTACCAGCCTACTGGATCAACAATGGTGCTCTGTATCAATAAATAGAAAAATTATATTTAACCTTTAGTTGGAGTTGGTGATAAGTCAGAAAAAATGATACATAAACCATCAAAGCGAGTTTTTCCTCTCCACTGTCACCACAAGCATGCTTAGTGTGAGGGATTGCATTCAAGTCAATGAGTCGATGCAATCAGATGGTTTTCCTTAAATAGAAAACTCTAAATCAATCTTACTGTATTATCTGGTGAACTGTAAAGTGCCTTGAGATGACGTGTGTTGTGAATTGGTGCTATATAAATAAACTTAATAGAATTGAATATAATAGATGTCTACAGATGTGATGCAAAAACAGCAACTAGTTTTTGAATTTCAGCTATATATATAACAGCTATATAACAGAAAGTAAACCCACTTGATCCATAGTGTTTGTGCATCCTATGGGGGGGATATATCAGTTTGTTAAGTGTGGTATGTATTGTTGATAAATTAGTTGTTTTATTTATTTTTTTCTTTTCTCCTAATAATTGAAAGGAGATTAATTTAAGAGCTGACAGCAGTTTGAGCTTCATATTA